GTGGGGCTCAAACCCACGAACTGTGAGATCATGACCTGCGCTGAAGTCGGACGCTTAACCAACCGAGCCACCCGGGTGCCCCAGCTTAATTTTTCTCATAAGCTCTTTTCTCACTCACCTGTCAGATATTCGTGGACACATTTCTAATTCTTGTTTTGGTAGGTGACCCTCCTCAGTGCTGCCCCGACTTGACTCAAGGTAGATTCTCGTAGATTTTCTGCTCTGGATGGATTAGCATCCTTGCCATGACACGGCCTCTAATTTTCTGACGGGGCTTTGGCATCCTAGATGTTGAAAAACATTTCTCTACCTGCCCTGACGTCACAGATTATTCCTTCTTCCCCTCTGAAGGCCCATAGAGGTCTTACTTTTTTTGATTGATACCCTTTGGTGCCCAAAGAGATTTCCTCTGAGCTTGAGGCCATCTTGCATGGGCATGGTAGTAACCCTCTTCTCTTTGCTTTCATGCCTCCACAACTCTGTTCCTAGAAGTTCTTCCTTCTTCCTGATCAAATGTTTTCTCCAGTCCTGTCCTATCCCACTGTTAATGTAATTGATAGCCACTATGTGAGATCAGTTTAACTTTGATGAATTTTGCTTGGCTCATCTGTTGTTTGCACCCATCATCTCTGTATTCCCCATTTGGACTCCCCCACCCATCCCCACTGAATCTTGAGGTCTTAAAAGCTGGTCTCCATTACATAGTTTCTAGCACATGGGCTCTCTCCAACCGTCCTGGTCTGTTTAAAATTTTGCATATAAACTTTAAAATTAATCAATTTTTTAAATGTTTACTTATTATTGAGAGAGAGAGAAACAGAGTGAGGGAGCTGAGGGGCAGAGAGAGAGGGAGACACAGAATCTGAAGCAGGCTCCAGGCTCTGAGCTGTCAGCACAGAGCCCGACGCGGGGCTCGAACTCATGAACCATGCAATCATGACCTGAGCCAAAGTCGGATGCTCAACCGACTGAGCCACCCAGGTGCCCCCAAATTTTGCATTTAACTTTAAAAATGGATTGAGGGGCGCCTGGGTGGCTCAGTCGGTTAAGCCGCCGACTTCAGCTCAGGTCATGATCTCACGGTCTGTGAGTTCGAGCCCCACGTCGGGCTCTGGGCTGACAGCTCAGAGCCTGGAGCCTGTTTCAGATTCTGTGTCTCCCTCTCTCTGACCCTCCCCCATTCATGCTCTGTCTCTCTCTGTCTCAAAAATAAATAAACGTTAAAAAAAATAAAAAATAAATAAAAATGGATTGAAAATTTTAGAAGAATTGAATGGTTTAAAATTACCAAACAATACACTATTCCTGTTGCTACTTAAATAATTCAGAAATGCAGAAAGGAAATCATAGGGTACAAAAGCCGGACCATCTCACAGAGGAGACAGGTAAAGGGTTGTCAAAGGTGACAGTGAGGGAGTCCCAGGACAATTGCTCTGTGTCAGGCATAGAAAATAACCAGCTCAGGGTGGAATATGGGGTCAGATGCTCCAACAGGCATGCCTCTAGAAGAATGTAAAGCCGATAAATTATTTAACAGATTTCACTAAGTGGAAAATTATATTGAGAATCACATTGACAGAGGTAATGGAGGGCATGGGAATGTAGATGTTCAATGAAAACAAAGCAAAGAGGAAAATGAGGAAATTAACTCTAAGAAAAACTAAATATTGTACAAGAAGGGAAATGTAATCATAGTCACTTCTTGGCTCAGTAATCAACAGTATTTTACAGTCATAATGATGAAAGCATCTGAATATGTGTTTAGCCAAAATTGAGATGTCTTCATATTAGGAGGATGGATTAAGGAAAGAATGAATCTAAACAGATAAGATGTCAGTAGATAATGTGGGGCGTGTGTGTGTGTGTAGAAAGGACAGTATGGGAGAGGCAGATATAAAGCGAGAGACTGTAGTTAACTGTCACATGCATTTAAAAAAAATTTTACGTTTATTTATTTATTTTGAGAGAGAGAGAGTGCGTGCATGAGAGAGAGAGCGCACAAGCAGGGGAGGGGCAGAGAGAAGGAGAGACAAGATCCCAAGCAGACTCTATGCCATCAGCACAGAGCCCGATGTTGGGCTCGAACTCATCACCTGTGAGATCATGATCTGAGCTGAGGTCAAGAGTCAGACACTTAATGGACTGCACCACCCAGACACCCCAGTTGTTATATACATTTTATTTATTTAAAAAAAATTTTTTTTAATGTTTATTTAGCTTTGAGAGAGACACAGTCGAGCAAGGGGGGAGCAGAGAGAGAGGGAGTCACAGAATCCGAAGCAGGCTCCAGGCTCCCAGCTGTCAGCACAGAGCCCGAGGCGGGGCTTGAACTCACAAACTGTGAGATCATGATCTGGGCCGAAGTCAGATGCTCAACCAACTGAGCCACTCAGGTGCCCCTGTTATATGCATTTTAAAGCACTATTTGAACTATTTGTAGATAAAACTAATGAAAATTAATCAAAAGCAAAAAAAAAAAAAATGTAGCACAACTACATGTTCTGACATTGGAGAGTTGTTTAAGAGATACTCTTTCTTTAAAAAATGCTTGTTTATTTTTATTTTTTAAGTAATCTTTCCACCCAGTGTGGGGCTCGAACCCACAACCCCAAGATCAAGAGCTGCACGCTAGGAGTGCCTGGGTGGCTCAGTTGGGTAAGCATCTGACTCTTGATTTTGGCTCAGGTCATGATCTCAGAGTTTGTGAGATCGAGCTCCACCTGGGGCTTTGTCTCTGTCACTATCAGCGTAGAGCCTGCTTAGGATTCTTTCACTCCTCTCTCTCGCTCTCTCTCTCTCTTTCTCTCTCTCTCTCTCTAAATAAATAAACAAACAAACAAATACAAAGAGTTTCATGCTCTAACACCTGAGCCAGCCAGGGACCCCTGAAGAGATATTCTTAAGCAGAAAAATTGTAAAAAATATTTCAAAAGCTTACACCTTTGATAGGGAACCATTTGTGGTAGTTATGTTGGGGATTGTATGGAATTTCTGTTTATGGAATGTTTGAATCATTTATAATGAGCATGTATTTATTATTTTTGTGATCAGAAGGAGACACGTTGAAAAATGGTGTATTAGAGTGACATCAGCTAGATGGTGGATACGAGGGCCTAGCCCTGGTCCTCCCAGGGGAACCCTGATTTAGCAGCCATTCCTGGACAAATACACTTTTACGAGAGCTCCAGGGTCCCGTTGAGAGGTCCTAGCGCCTGAGTGGAGCACGGAATCCGAGAACAGACACATTGCAAAGGGTGAGAACAATTTCACTTTACTCACGTCACCCCAAGCTGGCACAGCTCAGTGCTTAGAGAGACTCCCTCAGTCTGGTTCCTCCCACAGGAGACCCCGTGAAATGAGCGTCTTCCTTCCCCAGCCTTTCGCAGTGGGCCCGGGAGGCTTGCTTCTGTCCCCCGGAATGCATAGGGACGTTGCATTTCTGTCTCATTGGGGGGCAGCTAAGAACAAAGCAAGGGGGCTGGGGCCCACGGCAACTGACGTGTGGATCTCAGAAACCAGCCTAGGGGCCCTGCCAGTGAGCTGGTCCACCAGTGGACCCCCACAGCAGGCCCGCATCCACCCCTGCAGGCGGTCCCCCATAGTGGGGAGCCACACGACTCGCATGCACAGCTCGGCAGCCAGCCTGGATCCCAGCAGTTGGCTTTGGCTCTACAGGAGGGGGAGAAAGCACCTTACCCCCGAATGCTCCTTCACCAGGGAAGGAGAGGTAGGAGTTGGCACCATTATCCTGGCACATCTGTGTGCTGCCCTGGGGAAGATAGACCCGGCGCCTCGGCCCTTGGCGTGGCTCCGCGGAGTTGGGAGAAAGGGGATAAAATTTCAGTTATGCGCGAGGAATGAGTCCTAGAGAGATTCACCATACATCCTAGGGCCTATAAGTAACAATATCGTATTCAACATTTTTCTAATCGGGTAGGTCTTATGTTAAGTGTTCGCGTCCCACCAAAAACTAAAAATTGAAAGTAAGAGGCTAGAGGACACTTCTCATGGTGCCAGATACGTTTATAGTCCCGACTGTGGTCAGTTTCACAAATGCCTACTTCTCTCCAGACTCATCGAGTTGTGTGCCATTAAGGACGTCCAGCTTCTTGTATGTCGATCACACCTCCATAGAGCGTTGTAAAAAATTTTTTTATCTTGAAGATCTCAAACGCACAAAAACATCAGAGAATTCTGCTCTGGGGATAAAAGAATGAAGTTTTAAAATCTGAGCCGAGTAGACTGGTAGGGAATGATGTAAACTGGCAAACCGGTAGGGAAGCGGGTCCCAGACAATGTATTCCTTCTCCGTTCTTGTGGTGAGGGTTTGTGAGAAGACTGTAAGAATTCAGGAGGACGCAATTTAACAACAGGAATGGTAACAACGCAACACTGACGCTCGTGTTTATCGGGCTCTGTGAATACACCAAGGGCTGCAGGCACATTGTCTTTAATTCTTCCAGGACTCCACTAGATGCTCATTTATCTATTTAAAAAGTATCATTGAACACTGTTTTCAACGTTTGTTTATTTTTGAGAGACACAGAGAGAGCATGAGCAGGGGGTGGGGGGTGCAGAGAGAGGGGGAGACACAGACTCCGAAGCAGGCTCCAGGCTCCGAGCTGTCTGCGCAGAGCTGCCGCGGGGCTCGAACTCACGGACCGCGAGATCATGACCTGAACCGAAGTCAGTCGCTTAGCCGTCCGAGCCATCCAGGAGCTCGGTTGAACATTTTCTAGGTGATAGATCCTGTGCTAGGTGGTCAGGATACTGAGATGAAATCATTGCGGTCCTTGCTCCCCGAGAGCGTATGGAGTAGTCGGAGAAAGAGACGTTAAATATAATAAATAGTCGATGGCATGTGATAGACGACATGGAAAGTGTGACAGGGGGATGCAATTCAGATAGAATGGTCTGAAGGTCTCTCTTGGAGAGTGACATATATGCGCTGACACCTATAGAATGAGGAGGAAGGAGGCAGGCAGAGAAGGGTCTGGAGGCAGATGTGAGCAAACTCCTCCGAGGAGCTGAAAGAGAATCAGAGAGGCCAAATCAGAGAGAGGGGTGAGTGGTGACGGCCGAGGTTGTAGAGGCGCCAGGCCATCCAGAGCCACGGAGACTCAGTTTCTTTCTGAGTGACCGGGAAGTCCCGCAGGGTTCATCTTAAGCAGACAAGCGAAGGGTCTGATTTATATTAAAGATACTACTCCGGCTGTCTTGTGGAGAATGGACCGGAGGGAGATAAGAGCAAACCTGGGGGACATTTGTTTGGAGTTTACTGTTGTAGCCCAGGTTGGAGATGATGGTGGGTTAATTAATACAGGATGGAGGTTGAAGGTTTGGAGACAAGCGGGTTGATCTGACATACATGTGTGGAGGTAGAGTCCAAAGGGCCTGGTGACGAAACAGCTGAAGTCAAGGATGACTCCGGTTCCTGGTTTGAGTTAACAGGCTGATCCCCATTTTTCAGTCTAGCAGACCAGAGCTCAAGAGGTTCCGTCACGGGTCCCGGGAGGTATGTCTAGTAAACGATGCGTGAGGGTTTGGGGATGGGTCCGTCCGATTCCGGAGACAACATACGTAACACACGGTACTCTCTCCCAGCGAATCGCAGTCCTGCTGCTCTCTACGAGGAGAGAAGTCGTTGTCTTCTGAATTACCAGTCCCCGTCAACCGCAACCCCATCCGTTGCCAAAGAGAAAGTCAATATCCAGGCTTGTTCGCCGAGGCGTGTTTTGACCCGGAGCACATTAGAAAATGTTATTTGGGTCCCATGTTGGAAATGATGTCATTCCTTCGATACTTGACGGAGGCGAACAGGTTCCGGTCCTCAGAACTGGAAGCGATGATCCTAGATATTCAAGTCCTCCAGGCAGAAACCACGCTGTGTTTGTTCTCTCCCAAGGGGTCGGGAGAAGCCATGTGCTTCCTGCATTCCTGCTGAGACCCCTCAGCCACTTGGATGACGTTGCCGAGGGCAGTCGTCCGGGGAGAAATGGGCTTACTCTAATGGCAAAAAGGAAAATCAAGCAGGTTAATGGGGACCAGTGTCTCGGGCTACCTCTCTCGTGGCTATAGAGGAGGTCTGGAGAGCACTAAGTGACAGATAGGAATACGGAGCTAAGGCAAAACTGACTTAAAATTTTAATTTAAACAATTTAACGGAATTCAGGTAGGTTGGAAACTCAGCGATGGGTGACGCGCCTCATACAAGATAACTTCTACGTTTTGGTGATGCCCTGAGACCTTCTACATTCCGCTGGTGTCTGTGCCATCTATCCCGTGGCCCCCTTTACTTTTACTTCCCCTTATAAAGTTCTAAGTCTAAGGAGAGAGGTAAGCTGTGAGAACAGGGCACGCTCACGGGCTCACCTCTTTGGACTGATGAACCGTGGAGTAAATTGTGGAGGAATCAGTGCTTTTCGTAGGCGTTGGGTTACTTGTTTGCTGTAAAAAAATAATCATAGACATCCGGCTCACAGACAAAGAGATATTTGTGCAGGGAAAGACAACGCAACACAGAGGGGCGATGCCAACATCCTCCAGGAGGGAAGGGTAAGAGAGTGTGCAGCAAGAGGGGCTGGCCACCAAACACCACGAGCTCTCAACCCAGAGAAAGTTGAGTGACATTTCCCGAGGCCCACACAAGAAGCACAACCAGTGGCCTCGAGAGCCAGAGAAGGACAGAAAGGCGACCTTGTTGGCGGGTGTGTGAAGAAAGGGAAGCGTCCTTCCCTGCACCGGACTCTGCTGTCCTTCGTCCACCTTATGCCGGAGCGTATAGGAGTATTGTATCTTTTGTCTTAGCTCCTTCGGCAGAAGTCCCCCGTGCTCATGGGTTTTGACATTTAAAACGAACTAAGGAATATTTAGGGCATGGAGAAAACCTCTGAAACTCTCCAGAGCGCGATTTTTTTTTTTTTTTTTTCCGGAAGAAGTGGGCAAGTTGGCTGGAGAGCCGTTTATTGGGTTGTTGAGGGTGATGCATCTTGTCCCCAAGAGAGAATTAGGAAGGCAGCAGAGATATTTGGACCAGGGGGAGTACCCTTCTTGTCACCTCCCTTCGAGGAGCCTACCTTGGAGATACCACGAGGAGCTGTGTGAAGGGACATTTGCTTGGGGAACCTAAGATTCCTGGCGGGATCATCGCTTCCATCAGTGGGTGAGTGCTGAGTTATCTTGGCTTACTTTTCAGAAGGTGGATGGTGCTATTTAGGAGGGTCCACCTGCGGATGCTTTACTTTGAGGGTGGTGGGAAATTGCTGATGTGTGGCAAAGGAGTTCCTGGTGGCTGCCCAAGGCCATCTGCTATGTTGCAGAGGGGAGGGGAGCGTTGAAGGCCGCTCATGCCTTTACCGTCTTCTACTGTTGCGAATCCTTGCCCCGCCTCCCCCCCTTGAGAGAGTGTTTCTCAGTTCCTCTATTTCTACTCCATCCAGGGCAAGAAACCCCCCTGCCACACAGTTGTGCTCTCTGGAAACTCTCAAACTTCATTGAATTCCGATCTATTCAGCAAGTGTTTACTGGGAACCGTGCTCAGGGAACAGAGAGGAAAACATCATTTTCACTTCCAGGCAGCTCGTAATTAAGCTGCCAAGGGACAAGACTTACTGATGCGTCACGCAGTTAGAGGACCATGTAAAGTAGGGCGTGAGCAAACACATCATGGGGCGAGAGCCCTGGGGGCTGGCAAGGTCCCCCATGCAACATCGTCATTGCTGCCACTGCCTCTCCTCTCCTCCACAGTGGGGGTCATTGGATTAAAGAGATGACTGTGGTGACAAGTTTGCGTACAAAGACTCTAAAACCCGTGCCAATGATGGAATATAAAGCTGAAGGGACTCACCCTCTTTGGATGAGTGACATGAGCATACACGGTGTTCCCCGAAGAGATGGAGACATACTCTAAGTTATTCATGTTCTCTGCTGTTAACACAGGAAGGCACAGTCAGTGTCCCGCTCTCTCAGTGTCCCACTCCACGGCACTTTGTGGCCCCAAAGAGGCAGTTGGTCGAGGCAATGCCCTTCCTTAGGGTTCATTCATTTTTGACACTCTTTGAAGTTCTGGGTTGAACTAGAACCTTCTCAGCCGTGTGCTCTATTTTGACCTCATCTCTTGGGGGGACATGGTCTTGAGGTGTCCTAAAGCTTCAGCGTCTCTCTCTGGATTCACATGTGGACCAGTGAGCTCCCGGGACCAAAGAGCATTGCCTCCACAGGGGCCAGGGAACGCCATTGGCAAGCTTAATGGAGCCGGGTTATGTCACATATAAAGCATTAGGAAACCTCTCAGATTCTATTACAGATGGTTGTACTATGGATAGTTATATTATATTATATTTATTATTACTGATGAGAAACCGGAGGCTCAGGAAGTTCAATTAACTTGGCACAAAGTCAAAGAGGAAGTGATGGAACAGGAACTCGGATGCCTGCCTTCTTTCTGACTCTGAACCTCACGTTCGTCCTCTACACACGATGTCGTGTATCTCTGACCCCTGAAATGAGACTCACGGCCAGTCTGAGTCCAGAGCCTGTGTTCCTGTCTCTGTATCACACTTTTCTTTTTGGACTGGGTCTACTCAGTGTTCAAATCCCCTGGCTGAAAGAGTGACAGGGTCAGGCAGTTTGTCTGTGGACCTTTGATGCTCTAACCCTGTCCCTGCCCTGGACTTGCTGGTTGATAATGGACAGCGAGCCTTTCACCGGTACCTGGTTTCTCATCAACGGGGTGGGGAGCCACCCTCATCCCAACGCCTGAGATCCTTCAGGGACAGACATGCATAGTTACGGGTCACCTCTCTTTCACCATCTGGTCCCCCTGAGTAATGGTATTCTGACTCCCTCCTCTCTCATTACCCAGCCTTCTGGCTGGCCCCTTTCCTCCTTCACTAGGACGCCCCCTCTGTCTTAGGATTGGGAGCTAAGAGTCTACAAGCTCACCAGAAGTCTGGGTTTGCTGAGCAGAGAAATGAAAGATGCCTGAAAAATAAAATCAGGGAAATGGAAATTTGTTGAGTGCAATGTGAGAGGCCCCCACGCCCTATCCCTCGCCCACAGGTGTCTCTCTAGAGGATGTGGTGCAGGGGGACCTGAAGGGGAAGGGCAGCCAGGCCTTGAGGCTTGGTCATGCATTTTCTGGAGAAAATTAGCACGTGTGCGGTCACATCCCAGGGGCCGTCCCAGTGGACCTTCCTCCCTCCCTTTACCTCTCTTGCACAAACAGTATTTCTTCCTCCAAACAACAAGTAACACGATGACTGGACATATCAAAATGATAGTCACAAGTGCAATCCATAGGATACCAATGGATTCATCATTCAAAAAATCTGGAAAAAGAAAAAGAGAAGAGCATCTTTCTTCTGAAAAGACCCCTCCTGAGGGTCTCTGCTGAGCCTCTTCTAGGCCACCTTTGGGGGCTGGGTGGGTTCCGGCTCTGGGCAGCCTTTCCGGGAGTGGGAGTCCCTGTGGTGGACGGGGCAGGAGCCTGGTAGAGCCGGTGTGGGGAGCAGTTTCGACTTCCCAAGGACTTGGCTCCTGGGCCCTGAGTGGGCTGGAGGACTAGGGGGAGGGAGGGAGGAGAGGCTTCTGGAGGCAATGAGGGGTATGGAGCTGCGGGGGGGGGGGGGGTGTTAGTCCTACCCCGGCAGTGTTGGGTGGCCTCCCCCTGAGCCCCTGTTTTGGGAAGTCGCCTTGGGCAGGAAGGACATACCACATCCCACAGCTGCTCAAGGCTCTCGGGGAGACCTGAGACCGACTGTTACCTTTGCAGAGACTCTGGGTGGAAACAGAGAAGGACAGTTGGCTGACAGGATTCTCAGCTATGCAGGTGTACTTCTCTTCGCTGGAGTTCTTGGGGTCCCAGGACAGAGTGAGGTTGGCTTCTCTTATAGATATGCTTCCTGCGACCTCCCACCTTACTAGGTTGTCGTCACTCATATTCTCCACAGAGCAGGTCAGGTGGATCTCACAGGTCCCATTCTCGGATCGCCAAGTGTGGTTGGCCACTTCTAAGTTCTTCAGTGGTCCTGCACGCGGGGAAAAGGCCCGGCCTGAGACCAAATGGCTTGGTCTTCAGGCCATTGTGAAAAATACCCTTCCCACCGCAAAATGCTTCTGTATTCCTCCCAACACTCTACTGTATGCTATGGCCTGTCTACTCTGTAAGTCACTTGGCTTGTATTGCCTAAAGGATGGTGTCAGGGTCTGGGGTGACCAGTGATGAGGGACATCAGCATGAGACAGAGCAGCCAGGGGGAGAAGTGAGTGGGGACACACGACGGCCATCACCAACTAGTTGCATGATTCTGGGCTGCTCAATTTACTTTCTGGGCCCCAGTGTATTCCTGGCATCCTTTCCAGCCTTGTACACTGGGCTTGTGTGAAGACGTTGGGGAATGCGGCTGAGGGCCAACTGGCCCTTAGTCAGGGCAGAAGCCAGTAAACCAGACTCAAGAGCCCTATTCTTTCCACCATCAGAGTTCCCTAGCTGGGGTGGAAGATAAAAGCTCGGTGTCCTTGGAGACTTGTACTTCTCACGAATCTGCAGGAATGCCGGTCCTCACTGTATCGGATGCTGGCTCCAGTGAGGACAAAGAGATCCTGATGCGGAATGTCAGCAAGACAGAAAGGGAAATGTCGAGAGCCAAAAAACTAGAGAAAGAAGTGAGGGAACTGAACGAGCATGTAATTCTGGAGAACCAAGAAGTACAATATATCCAGGCATTTGAGAAATTTCTAAGAGCAAAGATCAGAAAATATTGGCTATTGAGACGCCAGGAGCGCGGTGCCTGGGTGGTTAAGTCAGACTTCGGCTCAGGTCACGATCTTGTGGTTCGTGAGTTCGAGCCCCGCATCAGACTCTGTGCTGACAGCTCAGAGCCTGGAGCCTGCTTCACATTCCGTGTCTCCCTCTCTCTCTCTCTGCCCCCGCCCCCCCCCCGATTTGGGCTCTGTCTCTTTTTCTCAAAAATAAATAAACATTAAAAGATATCTTTAACAAATGGCTGGAGCTGTGAATCAGTAGGGATGTGGGAGTGGTACAGAAAAAGGCCACTGAGCGGGGCTTGGCCTGAGGTAACGATGACCCAGTAAAGAACGGAATGACCCCGACTGTCTGGTGGGAAGATATTGAGGAATGCTCTAAGCTTAGTTAGAGGAGTAGAGGTGGGACATATTCTGACAGAAAGGAATTTCATGGAATGGAGAGTGTTGGATTTGGAGTTAAGAAGACCTTGGCCAGACTTACGGCTTTGTCATTTCCTGGTTATGGGACCGTGGAGACATTTTTAAATCTCTCCACGCCTCACACAAACTTACATAACAATACCAGCTTGTCAGGTCAACATGAGGATTAAATGAGACAGTGCCCAGCACAGCAATGGCAAATATTTGGCATGAATATCACATTTCCCTCAACCCGTGTCCATGGCTAACCTCAAAAATCTCTCTTGTTACCTTTTCCCACTTAATGAATATAAAACTGCCTACCTGACATTTCCACTTGGATATAATGTGTCTCTCAAACTGCACATGTTCAAAAGCATTCCTGGTTTCCTCTCCCGAACCTGGTCGGTCCGTAGCCTCCCACACCTTGGTTGGTAATCACGCCTTTCCAGTCGCTGAGGCCAAAAGCCCTGAAGCCACCCCTGACTTACCTCTTCGTCTCACGCCACCACGTCAGGATACCCTGGTGGCTTTATCTCCAAAGTATATCCAGAATCCAAGCACTTCACAAAACCCTCTGATGGTTCTCAGTCTCACCAAGAGTAGAGATCAAAGTCCCTGTGAAGGCTCTCAGAGCCATACGTGATATGGCCTCTATTTCCATACTGACCTTGTTTCTTGTTCCTCTCCCCTCACTCTGCTTCTTGGTCTTTGACCTCTTTGGCGTTCCTTGAGCCTGCCAGGCACAGGGGAGGCTTCTCCATTCAGCTATCTGCATGGCTCACTCCCTCACCTCCAACAGGTCTTGGCTCAAATGCTATCTTCTCAGCCTATTATGACCACTCCATTTATTAAAAATTTTTTTAATATTTATTTATTTTTGAGAGAGAGAGAGAGAGAGAGAGAGAGAGGCAGACTGCAAATGGGGGAGAGGCAGAGAGAGGGAGGCACAGAATCTGAAGCAGGCTCCAGGCTCTGAGCTGTTAGCACAGAGCCCGACGCGGGGCTCCAACTCACGAACCGCGAGATCGTGACCTGAGTCAAAGTCGGAGTCTCAACTCACCGAGCCACTCAGGCACCCCATGACCACTCCATTTAACAATGACTTCTGGGGGCGCCTGGGTGGCGCAGTCGGTTAAGCATCCGACTTCAGCCAGGTCACGATCTCGCGGTCCGTGAGTTCGAGCCCCGCGTCAGGCTCTGGGCTGATGGCTCAGAGCCTGGAGCCTGTTTCCGATTCTGTGTCTCCCTCTCTCTCTGCCCCTCCCCCGTTCATGCTCTGTCTCTCTCTGTCCCAAAAATAAATAAACGTTGAAAAAAAAAATTAAAAAAAAAATGACTTCTGTTCCTTGTCACTCCTGATGCCAAAAGGTCCTGAGAAGGGTTTGGTGTTGAACCTCATGAGTATGGTTATTGCAGAAGTCATGCTTTGTCTTCTGACCAGTGGCTAAAGAACATTATCTCAACAGTGTGATGGAGACTGATACGGGGTCTGTTCTCAGACTTTCCACCGGATGTCTCTCTTCTCTCCAGGGTCCTAGCACTGACTTGATGACCTCTGGTCACCCAGAGTGATTCTGCCTGTAGTGGGTTGAATGATGACACCCTCCCAAAAGATATCTCCACGTCCTAATTCCCAGAATCTTATTCAGAAAAGGGGTCTTTGCAGATGTAATTAAGTGAGATGAAGAGATGATTCTGGATTATCTGGGTGGGCCCTAAATCCAGTGATAAGTGTCCTTGCAAGAGGAGAGCAGAGAGATATTTGAGACAGAAGAGGAGATAACATAGGGAAAGGAGGAGGCGATGTGACAGGGAGGCAGAGACTCGTGTGACACAGACACAGGCCAACAAACATTAAGGAGTGCCAGCAGCTTTCCAGCAGAAACTGGAAGAGGCCAAGAACAGATAGCCCTCGAGGGCCTCCAGAGGGACGGTGGCCCTGCCCACACCTTGATTTTGGACTTTGGGCCTCCAGAATTGTGAGAGAATAAAATTTCTGATGTTAGCCACCGACTTTGTGGTGATTTGTTTAACAGCTTCAAGATATCAATACCTTGTCCCAGGGTGTTGTCTGCCTGTGGCAGACTTTTCTAGACAACCTCTCTTTCCTATCATATTTACCTGTTCTGTGTCCTGTTCTTTTAGGGACATGACTTTGACCAATCTAACACGGTACATCTGCCAAATATTTAGGGGATTATAAAGGTTCACAAGTAACCTATTTGTGGTGACATCTTACTTTAACTGAAGGGCTTTTTTGGATTCCACGTCTTAACCCAAAGGGCTCTGGGTGAGTTTTAGACACTGTAGGCTCTCGGGTAGATGAGACGTACGGAATCTCGGTGACCTTCAAAGTTGCCAGTTCAAGCTTGAATCTCCTATACACCATTCCTGCTAAGAGATGGTCTTAAAGGCATTCAAGGCATCTCGAACACCACCGATTGCTAGAAGGATCTTTTTTTTTTTTTTTTTTTTTTTTTTTTTCTGATACTGATTGGCAAGCTGTCTCATGGTTTCCATAATTTTATGTTGAGGACGTGAACCGTCTGGGGAAAATGTTCTTGGAAATTAAATAACCTTGTAGAAAAGATCTTTCTCGTTATCAACTCATCCTTACAGAGCACTTTCTAGGTAACCACTGTTCTGTATACTGATCATTCTCCACTGAGCCAGACGAGCCTTTGTGTAAAGGGACGTGTCATGCCAGCTAGTCATGTGGGAAACTCTCCCACTTACTGTCTCCTCTGTGACTGTAGGCAGGTTGCTGTGACTGATGCTGTGCCTCAGGGTTAAGGGTTCGTATCTACCTCGTGGAGCTTTGGCGAAGATTACCCAACAGATACAGGTAATGCATGTGGTAACAGAGTCACAGCTATTTCACTTCTGTTACTTCCATTACATTTCTTTTTTTTTTTTTAAGTTTTATTTATTTAAGTAATCTCTACACCCAATGTGGGGCTTGAACTCGTGACCCCGAGATCAAGAGGGATGCCCTTCCGACTGAGCCAGCCAGGTGCCCCACTTTCATTACATTTCTGGTCAAGAGGGACTATTTTTTTTTTTAAGTTTATTTATTTACTTTGAGAGAGAGAGAGTGAGTGAGCGAGAGCAGGGGAGGGGCAGAGAGAGAGAGAGAGAGAGAGAGCGAATCCCGATCAGGCTCCGTGATGTCTACGTGGAGTTGGACGTGGAACTCGATCTCACAACTCTGAGATCATGACCTGAGCCGAAATGAGAAGTCAGATGCTTCACTGACTGAGCCACTCAGGTGCCCCAAGAGGGACTATTTTATTGGGTGAGGGAGAGTGATGTGATTGGGGGCCAGGAGTCACAAGACTTAGGTTCTATTCTCCACTCTGTCACTCACTGGCCGAGCAATGCCATTGAGATTGTTTACTGCTGGACCTCAGCCTGACTCCAAATACTATGCTGTTTACCACTAGGCTATGGTGGTCACTATGTGACTGGCTGTCACATAGGATTGACATACGTCCTACCTTTCAGTCCATACACAATTAACCCCCATGCTTTCACTCACTGAAGATCCTCAGCTTGTAACTGGAAAACACTGTAGAGGTTTGTGTGGTTATCTGGGCATGGTAAGATCCTGCGTCAGCCATTGTCAGGTTGCTGAGCTGTAAGGAGTAGTTCCTGGTGAATTGCAGTCGGTCTTTCCATTTTGGATTCGTCAGTATGATCTGGGGATCTGAAGGATCGCTTAGTTGTATGAAGGTTATAGATGTTCCGTTGTAAAGCCAGGTGATGGAATGAGTATCCTCAGATATAGGAAGCTTCAAGGGAAAAGTTACCGACTCCCCCAGAGTCCCATTCACCATCAGTGGGGTTGAGCTGGCTTGTGAAGCTGTGTTCCCTGTAAACACAGAAGAGAAATTGCTTTAACCGCGCCCCACCCCCCCCCCCGGCTCACCCCTTGCTCCCCACACCCTTTCCCTACCTCTGCCCATCTGTTAGAGCCTTCTGATACTGATGCCCGGACATATGATGAAGAGACACAGGGTTAGGAGAAGTGTGGAAATGGACAATCACAGAGGCCCCACCCCCAACAAAATGTCTGGTGTTCTTGGATAATGGGAAGTTGGCCCAGATGGTTCTGGCCCAGTCCACCCTCCTATCCTGGCTGGTCACTCTTGGGTCATGACCACAATATCTGACTCCAGCCTCTGAGTTCTCTGGGCCCGAGGTGGAGGGAGAGAGGGAACTGTGTCAGCTCCCTAGCATAGACTCCAGCAATCACAAGTCTCTGCTGATGAAGTTTAATGAAAGCTCAACACTCACTGATTATCTGCTGTGCCCAACATAGTAGGTTTGTGGGTGGGTGGGGTGGTGGTTAGAGGACTGATACTAGGAATTTATAGCTCTTTACATTCATTATTTCCTTCGATGCTGGTGCAATTCTGGGAGGCAGATCGGATATTATCATCTCCATTTATAGATAAAAGAGCGGAGGCACAGATCGTTGAACTCCTTTTTTTCCCCAGGGTCACACAGCTACAGAATAAGGGTCAGGATTCAGACCCAACGATTTTGACCTCACTTGCTTTTTGCTCTTTTGGTGATACCAGAAAATATCTTTTCTATTCTCAAAGTGGAGGAGCTAAAACTGATAAATACAGAAGCGATAAATATAACTTCAAAGGAACGGACGGTGGTCCTGTTCTCGTGAGCCCATCTCAGAGCCATTCATGTTTGAGCAAAAAAGGTGAAATGGTCCCAACGATTCTTTTTTTTTTTTTTTTAATTTTTTAAAATGTTTATTTACTTTTTTGACAGAGAGAGAGAGAAAGAGAGCATAGGCAGGGGAGGGGCAGAGAGAGAGACACACACACACACAGAATCTGAAGCAGGATCCAGGCTCTGAGCTGTCAGCACAGAGCCAGAGCGGGGCTCAAACTCACAAACCATGAGATCGTGACCGGAGCCGAAGTCTGGCGCTTAACCGACTGAGCCACCCAGGCGCCCCTGGTCACAACGATTCTTAAAGAGGATGCTTCCCGAGCATCCTCTGCAAATACGTAGCACGCATCACACCATTTTGTGGTCCTGTGTTTGCTTGTTTGTCTTACTGGCCATGCCCTGATTATCTTTCTATTTCGGCACTGTGTCTAACATGAAGGAGGATCTGGAAATGTTTGAGTGAGTTGGTGAATATGTAACTGTAACCAGGACCCCCAACCTTCTCCAGATCTCTTCTCAGGAGAAGATCTAAGCAGGGAGGAACTACCTCTCGGGATCCTGACGCTCAGCTCTTGGGCGAGATCACACTGCCTCTCTCCTTCCTTGATGGTTGTGCAGACGCCAGGCACTGAACGCTGCCGGCCATTCCCACCCCCCCTGCCCCGCACCCCATCTTTCCCATCAGGGGTTTAACGTGATGGGGAAGATTTCTCATCTTAACCTCTCTTCCCTCTAGGAACGGCATGGGGGACGATCCCAAGCAAAATCTTGAGCAAAAGATGTATTTTGCCTTTTTCTGTTGTTGATCCCACTGACTGAAAGTTTAAAACCAGGCAAAACAGATCTGTTGCTTGACGTCAGGACAGTGGTTACCTTTGAGGAGGAGCGAGAGAGAACAGGTAGGAGGGAGCAAAAAGGGGGACTCTGGGGTGCTGCGAATGTCCTAGTTCTTGAGCTGGGTCTGGATACTCGGATTTACTCATTTTGTGATAATTCATTGAGTTCACACTTAGGATTTGTACACTTTTCTCGTCATGTGTATATTTCAGTTAAAAAAATGTTAGAATGACGACAAAACCCAACCCAAACGAAAACAGTTACAATGACCTATGAAGACCAAAAGGTGGGGCGCCTGGGTGGCTCAGTCGGTTGAGCGTCCGACTTCGGCTCAGGTCATGACCTCGCAGCTCGTGAGTTTGAGCCCCGCGTCGGGCTCTGTGCTGATGGCTTGGAGCCTGGAGCCTGCTTTGGTTTCTGTGTCTCCCTTTCTCTCTGCCCCTCCCCTGCTCTCCTCTGTCTCTCTCTCTCTCTCTGTCTCTCAAAAATAAATAAACATTAAGAAAACTTTTTTTTTTTAAAGACCAAAATGTTCTGCTCATGTTTCTGTCTTTGACCTATTTTTTCTATAACTCTCCCCAGACCAGTTGACTTTGCTCAAACTACTCTGGCCTGGCCATTCCTTGAGCAAGCCAGGGCTGGTTCACCTGCCGTTCCCTCCGCCTGGAAGGGTGTTGTCTCTCAGGTGTGCATGTGGCTCACTCTTTCACCTCTAGAAGGTCTTTAATGCACACATTCCCTCTCAGAGAGGACCGCTCTTCCCTCATCACCACCCCTCACCCCTGTACATTCAGCTGCTTTTGGACTTCTTTTTCTCCATAATACTTACCACCTAGCCTACTTTATAATTTGCCTTAAAGAAAAAAATTCTCTCTCCCTTCTGCTAGAATGTAAGCTCCCTGAGAGCAAAGGTTTCCGTCTGTCTTTTTCATTGTTGTGATCACTCTTGAACACTGCTTGGCACAGCATAGGCCCATAGGATTCATCCAGTGAGTATCTGTTGAGTGACTGGACTCTCCGTTCTTTCTCTTGGAGGTTTTCTGTCCAAGATATTAAGGAGCAGATTCTCTTTTGTAAGGAGCCTGGGCATACCCTGGGGCCCAAGGACTCCCCAGGAGCTGTTGCCTCCTGCCTAGCACATTCCTTGACGCCTCCTTTTTTTTTTTTTTAATATAGATGGCAACTATTCATTGAACAAGTCATTCTTTCTACCATTTGCTCAGTTCTATGCCAGTTCAGTGAGTAGAGCTTTAGAACTCACGGCATTCAGACCATATGGACTAGATCGCTTTTATGGACCAGTTTCTGGGCTGAAGATTGGGAACATGAATAAGAAATGTTGGTCCTCTGGGCTCACCATGTCGAAGAGGAGCCTAACAGGCAAGCGAGTAGTTTCAGTGCAATGAGCTGGGTCTGGAGCTAGGAAGGGGCTGACTTCTGCATTGACCTTGTACGGACCATCAGTTGCACCCGGTACACTCAACACCAAGTACTTCTTTCTTTTTGTTGTAATTATGAGACTGTTTTCCTCTCTTTTCCAGCATCTTGGGGATAGAGACTGTGCTTGTTATCTCTGTGTTCCTAGCACTTAACACAATTTCTAGCTCAATAAATGTTGACCCAACAGAGGTACGTGCTGTAGAGGAGCCCAAATAAATGCGCATCCGGGGCTGGGGGAGCTGGGGGTTGTCAGGGAACCCTTCACAGGGGCGATAACATCACAGCAGGGTTCTGAATAAAAACAAGAGGTTCCTATGGCCCAACGATCTGTGATTCTTCCAAGAGTGCCCCGCTCTTTCTTTGCCCCGTTGTTCCCTTTGCCCGGAATGCCCTTTGTCGCTTTTTCCACCTGCTGAGTCCCTATTTATCCTTCAAGGAGGGGCTCAAATATCTGTTTGCCTCTGCTTATATTTGTGGGGAGTTTGTTTTGGTTCAGGGGAAGGAGAAAAGAGTCTGGCTGAAAAAGAGACCAAGGGGAAGAAGGTGGAGGAGGGGAAGGTAGAATTAGTCCCCTGAAGGTCTAAGAAGAAGAAAAAGGCTTAGGGCACTTTGCTCAGGGAAGGGGAAGGTCAGAAGTTACAGGAAATGTTCAAAAGCCCTTCTGTGAGAATTTTGGCACAAGGAGAGCTGCTTTGGGGTCCAGGCGATGTGATTCTGTCGGCAGGGAGAACCCCTCCACTCCGGAAACTCCTCAAAGCCTCTGCCCAGCTATAGGTTTTATCTTTTAGAAACCAACTAATGAATTGCTGGAATAGGAAAAGAAACATTTTGAGTAGGACCCCCCAGGACATGCCTGGGCAGCTGAGTCATAAAGTGCCAGACAGGTACCTCAGCTCTAGGACAATATTAAAATCCCTGCCCTGGGACGGGCATAAACCTCATTAGCATACCGTATAATATATGTATAGGCACGTTTTCTGGGTGTGCATGTGAAGGTCTATGCCTGCCCATGACACGTGATGATCAGGCCTCTCCCTCTCCATATCCATCCCAGACCCCAATAAGAGGAACCTGCTTATCTACAATTTTTTTTCCATTACCCAGATTTTTATAAAGTTCCCAATGCTTGATGCGGATATATTGGTAGCTTGTTGTGGTTTTAATTTACCTTTCCCTTACGACCAGTTACATTCAATACCTTTTAATATATTTATTGGCCATTTCCATTTGAATATTTACTTTAGTCACTTGTCTGTTGAAATCTTTGATCCACTTTTAAATGGATTCTCAGGTTTTTTTCTTATTATTTAGGAGCTCTTGGTGTATTCTAGATACAAAATATATTTCGAAAATCTTTTTCTCCCACTTTGTGGATTGCCTTTTTACTCTCTTTTTAAAAATGTATTTATTATTTAATTTACAACTAACTTGGTGCAACAATGATTTCAGGAGTAGGTTCCTTAATGACCTTTACCCATTTAGACCATCCCCCCTCCCACAACCCATCCAGCAACCCTGTTCGTTGTCTATATTTAAGAGTCGTTTATGTTTTGTCCCCCTCCCTGTTTTTATATTATTTTTATTTCCCTTCCCTGATGTTCATCTGTGTTGTGTCTTAAATTCCTCATGTGAGTGAAGTCATGTGATAGCGTCTTTCTCTGACTAATTGCTTATCTACAAATGTAATGCAATCTCTGTCAAAATACCAACAGCATTTTTCACAGAACAGAACAAACAATCCTAAAATTTGGATGGAACCGCAAAAGACCCTGAATGGCCAAAGCAATCTTGAAAAAGTAGAACAAAGCTGGAGGTATCACAATTTCAGATTTTGAGTTATACCACAAAGCTGTAGTAATCAAAACACCACGTTACGGGCACACAGTAGGCACACAGGTC